TATATGAGTGGGCCTACATAAGCTACTTTTGCCGCCTCACGTTTGCATGTACAAGCTTAAGCATTCCTACAAGTTAAATTTATCCATTTCACACGAACATCCAAGCATTTGAAGGCGTTTTCATGGATAAGATCGCTATTTCTAAACATTACATGACTACTTTTTATCAGTCCTTTGGATTTCATTTTAAGTGAAGGTTTCTCGTTAATAAATTAGGACCAGTTGCCGATTAGACAGAGGTTGTACGGAAATTTACGTGCAGTCCATGAATTTAGCCTCTGACAGTGAAGGTCTTCTGACATGAAAGTGTTTTTAAGCTGTCGCGGAATAGAAGACAGGTTGGCAAATGATAGTCTCCTGGCGTTTTCTCATCGGATAAATATGTCAAAGTTGGAGCAAATGACCTGAATGGAGGATTAGGGTTCAGAGCCGTAGGCAATCCGCTGATTGCCGAGGGGTTTAGATGGCAAAAGCGAGTTGACCGGTTACATGGAGCTTTTTGGAAGACTTCGATTTGGCTTCGGCAGGCCTAACCCTAGCAAGAACATATTTTGCGCATTTCACAGGGATTTCGATTCAAATTACTAGGATAGTTTGTGGTAGCGATTTCTTAAACATTTTCGGCGTTCAACAGTATTAGCAATACCTTTTAATGTCACCAAACTTGTGTATTTACCCAGAGCCATTGACAGGAGGAGGAATAAGCGAAAAACATCCTTTTTCAACATGCCTTTTTTTACAACTATAATTCGGAATTCGTTGTCTGGAGAGATCTGCTGAAGAGATGCAGACAAATTTTCAACAAGGATGCACCATATCTATATATTCTAAGGTTACACGTAGGCAAAAATGACCGGAACTTAAACGATGAACAACCCTATTGCCGGTCCAATTTGAATCAATATTCAATGCCCTGTTCTCCCTTTACCCAAACACAGAAGACCTAAGCAGATTTCACAAAAAAATCAGTTTAAAGGAAAAATTTATCTTACCGGGGACTGGTTCACCGTCAGAGACCTCATAGATGTCCTTGACAAATTCATAGGTGGCCTCCGAGATGTGCACTTTGCCCGCCTCTCCTGAAGACTCCATCTTGTTCGCTAAGGTGACATCATTGGACCAAACATCGAATTTAAACCGACGTGTCCCTACCAGACCACAAATCACTTTGCCTGTATGCACTCCAACACGCATGTTCACCTGTGCGAGGGAAACAAGGAAAACGACGGTGAGAGGTGAAGTGCTATGTGGGAGAGAAGAAAAAGGGCATGAAAAGACAGCGTTGCCAAAAAGATGAATGACCTGACAGTTCGGCCGTCGAGGTCCCGGTGTGTTCCAGGACATGATGGTGCAGGGGCGGTGACTTGCACGTGCACTAGATTTAACTGCTTGTAGACTTACGCTGCATCTACCGCAGCGTTAGGGCTTCAAGCATGCCAGATTGTTAAGTGCATAGAACGTGAAAAGACATCGGCCTGACTATCCGTTCCTAGTCCCAGGCGACAGCCGTTTACCTGAAAAAGTCTTAGGCGCCTAGGACAACACCTCAAAATGGGGAGGTCGTTTGTGGAAATCAAGAAGAGTAACGTGGTTTTGTTAAAAAAGAACAAACAGGGAAGTCGTTAGTGCGGCGACAACGCGCAAAAGAACAGTTGATTACTTTGGCATAACTAGCAAAGATCAACGGTAAGCACCTTCGCCGTTAAAGACCCAAGAGAACCAGGCACAACAGACCGGCAATGTAAAAGAATCGTTGGAAATTCTTCAAAGTAATCTTGCTTAAATTTTATAATTTTTTTCAGACACGCAAGGCGTTTTAGGAAGTACAGCCTCCTTGGTTTATTTTTCTTTTCGGCAGTAGACATCCGGAAATCGACACGAATGCTCATTTGGTTGACTCGCAAGAAAACTAGCAGTCTTTGGGCCAACTAACAATAAATGTTAACTACGTACAGGGAAATAAGTCACAACTTCGAAAGAAGAATAAAGTTGTTTGATAAAGATTACTGAATAGTAAGATTTGCCAAATAAATTAGTAATGAAACGGAGAATTTTCATCCATCTGTATGTATGAAGACAGAAAAATTCGGTCTAGTTAAGTGCTCCAACCAATAACCTGAAACCCTAAAATGCCTACGGCGGGTTGTTGTTTCCTGATAAGACAGTAGCTTAATAACCAAAAAGGATCATCCATTGAAGAAAAAAAAGATCGCCTGTAGGTGAATGATTTATTTAGCAATAACCTTAAAGGAGCATGGAGGGCATTATTGATAATGTACCCACCCACCCTCTTTGCCGATACTCCCGGCCATCCACTTGGCTGCCAAGCACCCAGCACGGCAAGACCTGTTTGACCTTAACACTTGCACGTTCGCATGGCTTGCTATAGGCTGTCCGATCAACGTTCTTATTAGGCGTGAACGGACTACGCAGAACACCACCCATGGCCGAAACTATAGCCAGGAGTCGGCCTTGCCTTTGGTTCTAAACGCTGGCTACTTCTCCAGGCTCGGAAAAGTAACTGTCGGAGTAGGCACAATGAGAGTTCTGCTCTTTAACATTCTCCTCAGACGTATGCCTGCTGCGATTAACCGGCATGTAAGGTATAGAACTCAGATACCTTTTTTAGCATTCAAGAAAACGAAGTGGAAAAAGTGCAGAAAATAAGAGAAAAAAAGAGAGTAAAAAGAAGTTGGTACTCTCGAAGCACTATAGATAGTAGTTCACGAATCACACAGAATGAGACGAGAGAAATAACGGGTTGAAGGGTTAAAATGCTTTCAGAAGAAAAATGAGTAGATCGCAACTACGGGAATGGGGCATTTACTTGAATTAGTGGACATGCACACGACGACAGTTCCCCCGTCGATTTCGACGATGGGCACCA